TTGTGTTGTGCTGCTGCTGGCCCTTTAAGAACCATCTGGGGACATACTGTGGAGTTACTGGGTGGCCACCATTTCCTGTATCAGAAGCACATGGTGAGAACAATGGATGGCGGCCATTTTAACTCACAGACACTGTTTGGACTTTTCAACACGGTGCCATCTCGCCAGTATTTGGTGCACAGAGACATCGTGCAGTGGTTTTGGACTATACAGCAGGGGACACATTATACAGTGATTGTTTTTCATTTAGCCTGTATATGTTCTGCAGAATCTGCATTAAACTGTATCTTCCAAAGTACTGAACGGATCTGGGTGAATTTCGGATATGTGGTTCACCCAGATCCCCCGGTTCCAAGGATATACTTTTTATGGGGTTATTGCATGTTTTGGGGTCCCTGTGATGTGTTTTATGAAACTGTATTTCTCTGTCTGTGATAATTAGATTACCCATTGTGTAAGGTAATTGTATTACAGGCAGAGGGGAGGATTTTGTGTGGGAGTGTCTGTGTGTATTGTACAGATTGATTGGTTGTTCTGTAAAACCCTGGGGGCAGTACTAAGTTTGTGGATTGGGAATAAAAGAGGCTGTATGTGCCAGTACAGGAGTTCCTGTTTAACCCTCAAAGTGAAGTGTCGTCTCATTATTGGGGGAAGGATTTATTGTATGCTGTTCCAGTTTGACTGCTAGGAGGGTAAACCTATTTGCATGGTTTTTCCTATTCGGCTGTATACAGCATTCATGTGCTCCTACGGTTCGGTGGTTTTGGTGGATTGCCAGAAGTGCTTGGAGTCCTCAGGAAGTGCTAGGAGCATCCTTCAACGGAGGTACCCAGTCGGGGTGCCAGGTGATCCGTTACAGAGAGGTCTACCCACTGGAAGCTAGATCATAGTCTTGGGTCCAGGGTGGGTGGAGGACAGCGAGACCCCAACCAAGCTGCGGTGGTTTGTGGGGTTAACAGTGGTTATGGTGTCCAGTGCGGTGCTTATGGTACTCAAGGATTACTAGGAAACAGCAATTGACGTAGGTATCCAGTTGGGGTGCCAGGTGGTCCGTCACACACATGTACTGCCCTATAGGTACCTGCAGAGGTAATGCAATAAAGACTCATTGGGAACTGGGAAGAGTTTACTGAAAGTGGTTTCTTGTGAATCAATTTTAGTTTATTACATTTTACACCTGATGAATAGGTTATGGAGATAGTTTTACAAGGGAAGAATGGATTATCATAAAAATGCCATGTATTCAATTTGGGTGCACGTTACAAAATGTATCCTATTGTAAAAGGCATGTTGCTAGAAAGATATGTTGGCACTTAAAGGGAAACTATTCCCACCCCCACCCCCCAAAAAAAGAAGGTAGATTGTGATTTGTTTTCATTGAGGGTATCTAAAACATCTTGCAAAATCTGCAAATCTTGCACATCTCTAAGCACATCCCCTTTTTTTACCTGACAGAAGTAGGAAGGGGTCATTTCCACTAAATGTCCTCTAGTAGTCACTAAGAAAAAAAGTTAAAATACTAGTAGTACAAAACATTATGCAACACATTAAATTGTTAAATCTTGAACTGAAGCATGCTAACTGTCCTGGTAATGAAAACCAAATTTCAATTAGTTAATAGCCCAACTTTTAATACCTAATTGTAAACATAATGACCCCAGCATATTTTTTTTTTTTAAACGGCTAATCTCCTATTCACTTTCATGAACAGAATAGGTACTACCTTTACTCATTCAAAGACATTTCCCACCACAGACATTAAGAAAAGAATATGATTTATTAAGTTTATATGTGCCATTGAGAATAATTTTTTAATAATTTTTTTCCTGCAGGAGGTTACACCCTGTTGAGCTAATGTCACCTCTTTCACTCTGACACCTACGCACAATATTATAATAAGCGCTACAAAACTTAAATGCGATCTCCAAACCTTTCACCTCTTTAAGTTCTGTAGAGGCATGCAAATCATTTCAGAAAAATGCTGCCTAGATTAAAACCAGTTACAGCATATATGACATAGCAAAAATGACTCACTATAAATGCAATATATAGGAGTAAACATAAATTAAAGAAGTACTGTCACTGTTAGGATAAATACATTTCTGACTCCAGTACAGGATAACTTTTTTATTTTCTTGTGAGGGTTTATAAATACTTTTATCTCAAGCTTGCCAGCTCTTCGGTAAGACATAGATAAACCTCTAGTGGTTTTCTACCTTTAGGATCTGTCCTTCTAATTGAACATTGTATTTGCAGAATGGAGTAGAGTCAGGCATAGACAACCTTCGGCACTCCAGTTGTTTTGGACTACACCTCCCATGATACTTTAACAGCATTATGGGTGAAAGAGCATTATGGGGGATGTAGTCCACAACATCTATCCTTGGAGTAGACAATACACTTTGGTCTGGTGCCCAATTATGTTGGTGAATAGCTACCGTAGGCTGTCCCTGTTAAAAACAGCCACAACTACTAATTAGTAACTGGTTGCAACCTTGTCACAGTTTTTTTTTAAAACCTGGTTGCCCCTAACATTTGCTCACATACCAACCACTTACAAATTGACTGCTGATAAAGAACAGAAAAATACAACATGCAATTTGCCACTATAGCAACCACTAATATCTTCAGAAAAAGTAAAACTACCGGAGGCAATAATAACATAATTTAAATTTGAAAATCCAGGAGATGCCGATGCAGCATTTGAGAAAAAACATTAGGTGTCTCTGTAGATGTACCGGGGTTGGCACGAAATGCAGGGCCATATTTAATACCGAATGGACCCTGGGCAAGAATTAGCGTGGGCCCCCTGGACTCTATCCCCCATCTTCCGCTCACTGGCATCAGGGACGTATTAGCCGCGAGGCAAACAAGGCATTTGCCTTGGGCGGCATATTCCAGGGGGCGGCAAAAAAAGCCGCCCCCAAACGCCCAGGGCAAATGTCTTGCTAGCCTTGCAGCTAATATGTCAGTCCAGGCAGGCGGGCGGGCAGCGCTGGCGAGGGAGTACTTTCCCCTGAGCGCTCTGCTTAGCTCCCTCGCGCGCCGCAGAGTGATGCTTGGAGCCGGAATATGACATCATATTGCGGCTCCAGGTGACAGGCATCACTTTGCGCGCGCGAGGGAGCAGAGCGCTCAGGGGAAAGTGCTCCCTCGCCAGCGCCTCCTGCCCGTCCTCCCAGCAGCCACTGGACCCCAGGGAAAGGGAGAATCCCCCAGCATTCCCAAAGGTAAGGAGGCTGGGGGGCTTAAATTTAAAAACAAAAAAAAGGGTGTGTGTCTGTTAGTGAGTGTGTGTCTTTTACTGTGTGTGTCTGTTAGTGAGTGTGTGTGTGTCTGTCTGTTAGTGTGTGTGTCTGTTAGTGAGTGAGTGTGTGTCTGTTAGTGAGTGTGTGTCTGTTATTGCGTGTGTGTCTGTTAGTGAGTGTGTGTTTGTCTGTTAGTGAGTGTGTGTTTGTCTGTTAGTGTGTGTGTGTGTGTGTCTGTTAGTGAGTGTGTGTGTGTGTGTGTTTGTTAATGTGTGTGTCTGTTAGTGAGTGTATGTCTACTAGTGTGTGTGTCTGTTAGTGAGTATGTGTCTGTTTGTGTGTGTGTGTCTGTTAGTGAGTGAGTGAGTGTGTGTCTGTTAGTGAGTGTGAGTGTGTTTGCCTGTTAGTGTGTGTGTCTGTTAGTGTGTGTGTGTCTGTTAGTGTGTGTGTCTGTTAGTGTGTGTGTGTGTCTGTTAGTGAGTGTGTGTCTGTTAGTGAGTGTGGGTGTCTGTTAGTGAGTGTGTGTCTGTTAGTGTGTGTGTGTGTGTGTCTGTTAATGTGTGTGTCAGTGAGTGAGTGAGTGTGTGTCTGTTAGTGTGTGTGTGTCTGTTAGTGTGTGTCTGTTAGTGTGTATGTTAGTGAGTGTGAGTGGGTTTGCCTGTTAGTGTGTGTGCGTCTGTGAATGTGTGTGTTAGCGAGTGTGTGTTTCTGTTAGCGAGTGTGTGTTTCTGTTAGTGAGTGTGAGTGTGTGTTGCCTGTTAGTGTGTGTGAGTGTGTGTGTCTGTTAGTGAGTGTGTGTGTGTCTGTTAGTGAGTGTATGTGTATCTGTCAGTGAATGTGTGTATTTAGAAGGCGGGGCAGGGGTAGATCCCCATCTGTTGTGCAGCTCCGCCTCCAACAATGCTTTGACAGCTGGGGCTCTACATTTTCCCATGCTTGCAGAGTTGTATTTAGCACTGAGCAGTGTTTGTGTGTTTGAATGTAAGCATGTTTTTGTATGGTGTATGTTAGTGTGAATGTAGGAGTATGTTTGTATGTGTTGTTGGTGTTTGAATGCAAGTATGCATTTAAGAGTAATGTTAACCTTTGAATGAAAGGCTGTGTTTATTTATAATTTTGATGTTTAACACAGAGGTGTTTTTGTATGTATTGTTGGCGTTTCAATGAATGAGTGTGCGTGTATAAAGTATTCACGTTTGAATGCATGGGTGTATTTGTGTGTCATGTTAGTGTATGAATGCTGAGATGTATGAACATATACACATACACTGCAACAGAAACACACACGCAGATACACACACTCTAAAAAACATGTAGACACACACTGACACAAATGCAGATACACAGATACACACAATGAGACTAACACAAACAGATACACAAATGTATAATATACAGATGCACAATGACAGCAGATACTCAGACACATATGCTGACAGACATACTGACATATACACACACACACTGACAGACATACTGACACAAACTGGCAGACATACTGACAGACACACTGACTCATACTGACACAGACACGCACAGACACACATGCACACACAGACATACTGATACACACACATTGACAGACATGCTGACACACACTGAGAGATATACTGACACACACACTGACAGGAATACTGACACACCCTAACAGACACATATACTGACAGACATATTGACACATATAGACAGACAAACATACTGACACACACTGACAGGCATACTGACACACTGAAAGACATACATACTGACACACACAGATAAAAATACTTACACACACAGACAGACATACTGGCACACACAGACATACTGACACATACACGGACATACTGACACACACACAGACATATTGACACAGAAACACACTGACAGACATACTGACAGACGCACTGACACAAACACACACACAGACATACTGATACACACACATTGACAGACATGCTGACACACACTGAGAGATACACAGACACACACACTGACACATATACTGACACACACACATACTGACACACACACACACTGACAGGCATACTGACACACTGGCAGGCATACTGACACACAGACAGACAGACTGACACAGACAGACAGACTGACACAAACTGGCAGGCATACTGACAGACACACTGACTCTTACTGACACAGACACACACAGACATACTGACAAACACACACACACACACACTGACAGACATACTGACACACTAACAGACATACATACTGACACACACAGACATACTGACACACATATGCTATACACTTAACCAAACCTTTTCTGGAGGGTGGTTTCCCTGGGGTCCAGCGGCAGGCTGAGGCAGTTGGGAGTTAGGCTATGGCACTCTTGGCCTGGCCCTCTCCTCACTGCCTTTCTCCTCCCGTGCGGCTTTAACCCCTTAAGGACACATGACAGCCGCAACGCCGGGTCCATGGGGGCTGCTCAAATCACTGGGCGCACCGGGCAGCTGCTCTGGGGCCCCCTGGAGTAACATTTGCCCCGCGTTAAAGACAGCCCTGACGAAATGTTTCTGATTAATTTATTTATTTTCCTGTTAGCCCTTACTGTAATGTTGCTTTAATAAAGTTTCCTTTTTTCCCTTAACTTTTGTGGATTGAGGCATTAGTTTTTCTCCAGAGGAGGAATTTTATATCTCTATTTAACTCAACTATAGCAACTACACCTTGCCAGTAAAAAAAAAAAAAAAGGCAGGGCAAAAAACAAGTCGCAAGAGTGCGCTGAGGACGGACAGCAGCTGAAATAGCCTGCACTTTGGTGGGTCCCCGCTCAGAACTCAAACTGGTTTTAGCTCATCTTGTGCCATTACAGCGAGAACATCTCTGAAGCATATCAGACTGGTCCCACCCATACGGGCAGTCCAGATCCGAAATGCCAGCAAGTTCTCTCTGCACGAGAGACAGAGCAACCCCAGACAATCGTTTCAACCTTGTTAGGCATCATCTCCACAATTTTAAAGGGTAATCCAGACGTGGACCCCTTGCTCACGGTGCCTAGAGGGCCTCACTGATGATGACTCCTTACATTATGCAGCCTTAGCAATAAAAGTAATTATTCAGAAAAGATGGAGTAACCCCTCACTTGTTGGTCGGAAAGCAGCTAATTGGCCACCATAGCTCCATCCCTGTCTGGTGTAGACACCCTTACCTCTTTAACATGCTGTTGACACCTACTTATTTATTATAGGGTTCTGTTCTATAAAGTCATGCAAAAATATACAAGAGGAGGAGTTGCCAATGGAATCTACCTGCTGGTTCCAAAGATTTCCAAGGTTGATTGACCATTTTCTTGAAAACGTTTTTAACAGGACATTTTTTTTAATAAATTGCCCCTTACAGTAGCCAGATGTTTTAAATTGTACTGGATGATACTGGAAGCATGTACAAATACTGGAGAGTTTTTTTTTGTTTGTTTGTTTTTTTTACTTGGTCATTGAGCCCATTGTACTAGGCTGTGGCAAGCAAAGAAAACCGCAGTAGCATTGTGTATGGATACCTTGCATAGAATGTATAAAGAATGTCTAAATTGATACCTTTCACATAACCATGTAAAAAATGGACTGAAACCTTTTAAAGGCTATGTAATTATGTTTCTATTAAAATGCTGAAGTGGAAACTGTTTGAAAAGTCTGTAATAAAAAAATAAAAAATAAAACAAATGATTCATACAGGAAGTCATAAAAAATCGTACATGCTTTATTTTCAGTCATTCCCTTAAAATGCAATGACGGTTTACAGATTGATGAATAATAATGGAACTTAGCTCTAAACAAAAAGAGGAAGAGTTGCCAAGATTTGTCTCCATGATTTCTTCCCATTTGGCAAGTCCTATTTTTAACATATGTAACTTCCAAGGTTTCTGAATTATGCAGAGAAAGAAGCCTAGAGAGAAAGTAGATAGAGAGAGAGGAATAAATACTTCATTATGCCTGGACCCTATAAACATGAAGATTATTTTACTAATCTTTCTCTCCTTACGGTGTAAAAATTGTTATGTGAACAGCTGTCCACGGAAAAAAGCCACAGAAAATACTGGTCTGCCCTCTCTGGAGTCATGTCACGTATATGGCCAACCAATGGGACTGAAGAGGTAACAGGAGGTAGTAGAAGTCAGAGGACAGGAAAGAGGAATGGGATGATTAAAAAGTCAAAGTATGGGACCTTTTACTCTTTGCATGTCAACTGGACTGTGCTGTGTATCTTTGGTCTAAATAATTTAAAGGGTTTCTTTAACCCTTTTTTGTTAGAATGACCTATTTTATTGTTCTGTAGGTGCATACTTATGACGGATGTAAAATATGCACCGCATTTACAATAGGCAGCCTGGAACAGAGTTCCGGGCTGCCTAAGTCATGTATGCCAGCAATGCAACTCGCCCCTGGCACACAATTGCCAATATAGCTAAATCAAGCTATAACACTGCACATCTAGACTTCTACCAGAAGTGGTCATGGAGGTTGGAGTGACCTTTTAGGTGTCCAGAGAATGTTGAAAAGAATGTCCCAAATTACTTTCTTATGACTACATCCATGTTTCAGTCAGTGACTAACATTAATTAACGAATGCCTTACCCTGTATGTTACTGTCACTAATAGACCTAATGATGGCCTTTGTACAGGTTTTGTATATTGTATTTCGTTTTTTGGCAGCCATTAAAAATTCCCTCCCCCCGGCCCCCATACATATTTAGAGTTAAGGTTGGCAAGAGGTAGTTAGGGTTACTGCTAGCAAGGATTAGGATTAGCAAGGGATATTTATTGTAACGATTAGCAAGGGTTAGGGTTAAGGAGGGTATTAAGTTTAGCAAGGGTTAGGGTTACCTACAGAGCAGGCTCAAGAGCCTATTGGGCCTGGTGCTGTCGATTATGATGGGCCTAATTACAGAATCTTATCGACAGAAAACACCTAAAGCAGTTATACTTCCCAAGCGTCATGTACAGGGCCGGTGCAATGATTTTTGGTGCCCTAGGCAAAAACATTATTTTCCGGCCCCCCATGCAGTGACATCACAATGTCCTACCCATATGATCTTCTCATGTCATGACATTACATATGCCCAATCCCTGAGGGACTGCTTCTCCAGCAGTTGGGCCGTCTTGCCAGTATTAACGCTCTTTGCTGGGTCTGCCTGGGCAGTTCATTACCCAGACTCCAGTAAAGCCACCACATGTGGTGTTGTATTAGACTGTGCACCAGGAAATTCTTCCCCTATGTTATTTTTTTTTTATTATTATGTAATGTGAATATTTTTAAATATGTTGAGTGGATGTGCAGTGTGGGAGGTTAAGGTCAGTAATAGGGGTTATGACCTGCGATGGGTGGCTAGGGGCAATAGTAGGGGGTTAGGACCTGTGGTGGGTGGTAAGCGGCAATAGTAGGGGGTTAGTGGCCATAGTGTGGGTTTAAGGGAAGTAGTGGGTGGTTATCGGCTTAGTAGGGGGTTAGAGACAGTAGTGGCTGGTTAGGTGCAATAGTAATGGGTTAGGGGTAGTAGTGGGTAGAAGCATTAGTAGGGAGTTAGGGACAGTAGTGGGTGGTTAGAGGCAATAGTAGGGGATTACCTATTATACAGCACTACAGAATTTGCTGGTGCTATATAAATAATAAAATAATAATAATTAGGGGCGGTAGTGGGTGTTTAGGGGCAATAGTACGGGGTTAGGGGTAGTAGTGGGTGGTTCTGGGCATTAGTAAGGGGTTAGGGGCATTAGTAGGGGGTTAGGGGCAGTGGTGAGTGGTTATGAGCATTAGTAGGGGGTTGAGGGTGGTTAGGCGCATCAGTAGGGGGTTAGGGGCAGTAGTAGAGGGTTAGGAACAATAGTAGGGGGTTAGGGATAGTAATGGGTGGTAGGAGGCAATGGTAGGGAGTTAGGGGCAGTAGTGGGGGTTAGGACTTTAGGGGGTTAAAAAGGGGCTAAGGGGAATGTTAAAAAAATATATATATATACATTTTTAAAACATGTTTATTTCCCCTCCCTGAGGCTTGCCTTGGACAGGGAGGGGGATCCGATTCCAATTCTGCACTCAAGGAGCACTGCACTGCAAATTGTAGGCGCTCCTGGTGCCCACGATTCCATCCGTCATTCTGCGTGCGTGCCGCCATGGCTCTTCTACAAGTGTCATATGAAGAAGCCTGGACAGGGCGCCCTTTCCAAACATGCGCCCTTGGCCGGCGCCTACTACTCCTATAGGTGGTGCCGGCCCTGGTCATGTATCTGGTGGAGGTGGCGCTGGAGGGAAACTCACAGGATATCACTATCAGAACACACATACCCTATGCAAATCTCTAAAGCACCTCCACTGGTCAACTGAGGAGTGGCCCTAGGGGCAATGTAAACACTGCCTTTTCTCTGAAAAGACAGTGTTTGTATTAAAATGCCTGAAGGCAATGATTACACTCACCAGAACAACGACATTAAGCTATAGTTGTTCTGGTGACTATAGTGTCCCTTTAACTAATTTCATTGTCAGCCAGTCCACACTACATCCCTCTCAAGCTTCCATACTTACGCATGTAAAGAGTAGTAAAAAATAAAATATATTTAATATTTTCCCCCAAATCAATGGGCCTATTTCATGGGCATGGGTCTGGAGCTGCAGCTCCATCAGCCCCTATGTTAATCCGGCCCTGGTTTCCTAGGGTTAAGGCTAGAATGGGATAGCTAGAGTTGGAAAAGGTTAGAAATATTATCAGTGTGATGCTTCTCAGAGATTTGACATAGATAGTGTCACTTCAACAAATTGCTTCTCTAGGAAGCAAGTAAGCAGGCATCAAACATTGAGGCATGTCTCAGTTTTCAGCCTATAGCTTTCCCAAAATATCTGGCATTGGTATACATGTAGGGTATTGTTGTACTAGAGAAATACAGCATAACAAACATTTATGTTCAGTGAAGTAATAAAGCACACAAGACTTGTGAAATAATTTAAGTCCAAGTGAAAAGACTCA